ACGGACGACTTGACTGTTGAGATCGTCATACCGCGCCAAGTGAAGAAGTTTGCGAAATCGGGCCTGAACTCCGAGAGGAGCTGCGCAGCCTGATCAATGTAATGGTGTCGGCAGATGAAGGTGACATCATCCGCGTATGATACCACTTTCGCAGGTGCCCGAGGAAGTCAGAGATGTTGCATGTAGATGTCAAACATTGTCGGACTGAGCACAGAGCCTTGAGTAACGCTGCTAGTCTGTTTATGGGGCTTAAAGAGCGCCGCGAAAAAGGACACAATCGTGTCGGCCACGGTTATAAGCCGCAAACCATCGGACCAGGCCAGTCGAGAGATTTCCTTTAGGTCGTTTTCAGTGACGTCGTCAATTTCGACCTTTCGACCGATTGTTCCACTGCCCTTCAAAAGTCTCACTATGCAAATGACTTGTTTCGTAGTCTGTGCATTAATAAGGCATGTACTTTGATTTCTGATGTCTGAACTCAGAAACCGCGTCGTGATTCTAAACTGTTCTACGTAAAGCGCAACTGAAAACCGTTTTAAGCTAATAATTGGTTCAAAGAACCGCAGCAAATGCAAGGTTCGTGGCTTTAAGCGGCATGTGAAAGTCGTTAGGAAGGGTACAGCAGCTGCTTGTTGCGTCTGAGTGTAGACTTTAATAAGTAATTTCATTATGTGAACGCGCGTATCGGGTTTTTACAATCCAAGACACCCAAATCATGCATATTAAACTAGTTTTTGTCAAACTAACTCAGCACATAAAAGGTTTTTACACTTTTATGTCTTGGCACGCAACTAGTTTTCTGTGATTCGAATTCACAGCCACGGACCGAACTTGTTCAACATCGTCTTTGTGAGGACACAACAGCGGTCAGTGTCCAACATGTCGCCGGCTTCTGAGTGCGTATCTTAGCAGCCATCTGTGTGAAGCAAAACCTGGTATTTCGTGTATATATTAGTAACTGCTTCGATTTTCGCAACCCAGACGGGCCGCGTGGATGATGCGCTGGACCAATGTGGCAGCTCGATGAGGGTACCCTGCCGTACTACGGCAGGCATTTTTGGGATGCGCTACCATAACAAGTGCCGCAGACGGAGACATATGGTGGCACTCGAAGGTACGGGCTCACGCCAGCCACCTGTGTCCTGTTCCAACGGTTTTCTCGACTCTGCTTTGACACCGGGCAGAGACGGAAGAGGGAAGCGAAAGTGCGGTAGACGCAGCGCAAATCAGCTATCACTTAAAACTAATTCACGCGCAAGTCACCGTGCCGTGGAGCACACCGTAAACTTTGTCGGATACGACAGTCGATTTTCTAGGTCTACGTAAGGGTAGTCAGGTTTCTTAAGACGTGCAAAAATCTCTTCCAGGCGTTTTGGTGGGAACAATCCTCATTAGCCTTGGTATTAGCAAGACGAAAGTATGAATGCAAATTTCCGAGTCTCAAGTGTTGTTATGAGTAAAAAAAGAAGATTAATAGGGCAACGGAATCATTTGTTAATGATACTTATTTGGCGAGCTCGCGCAGGATCTCACCCTTAGAGATAGAAAAAACAGGAAAAGGCTACACTTGTGGGGATTTATAAGCAACTTAACTATAACGCAGGTCTGAGGGTGACTTGAGTGCCGAAACCAGATTGACACAGGGATTGATTAAATTCTCGTCCAAGGTCCCGACTCCAGTTAATCCTCCGCTCGTCTTGCTTCCAGCGTGAACAATTATCCTGTTGGCTGCGACGTTGAGATCATGGCCCGTTTCGTAGGTACTGACAGTCACTTTCCATAATTAACCACCATGCCACACAGTCAGTTTGTGTTCATCTATGCGCAGTCCGAACACATATTCCGTCTGACGTGTGCAGTTACAAGGGCGGTTTAAGCATGGGATTTGACACTACCTCTGCGCTGCAGTCGGTCCAAGATTTTCACGACCCGCTGTGTATGGTAGCTTTCGGCCGGTGTGCACTTCCAAAAACTAATTGATAACAATGTGCTCGGTCGTTTCTGAGAAGTTCCTAATTTATGATAGAGCGTGCATTATCTTCGCTGTTTCTATGTGGATCATGTGGGACCAAGCGCGCAGAATTCGGCTCGAAACCGCCTTTGAAGTAAACATTTAACAAAATTTGAACAGACGCATTAGGTGTTCAATTTTGGGTGGACTCTGAACCTCGTCGTATGCCTCTTCAAGCCTTTTGCGCAAGACTCCGTGTGTCAAATTCCGTGGGATGGGTGTGAATAAGGACGTCACCTCGAAAGAGACCATGGTTTGTCTGATTGAATCTTCCGATCTCCAAGGCCTGTATTGGCTGCTAACGGCCACTATGGGAACCCGTGATCGCTGACTCATCACGCCAAGGCTGCAGTGAAGCTGACTGCCG